GCATTTATAATATTAGTCGGATTTATATATTTCAAGTATATATAATCAATTTTCGTGATGCCTAAATTATTTAACATTTTTTTCTTTTTTGTTTTGGGATATTGAGAAATACCAATTTTAGTGTTTAAATATCTTTCTCCTGATAATCACATATACCGGGTTATTGGAAATTCGACGTATTCCCGTTAGGAGGTGATAAGGGTGTCATCTATTTGCGATAATTTTAACCATTTTTGAGTTATCATGTTTTTAGATAGATATTTACATTTAAATTGATACTTAAAAAAAATATCATGTTGCATTTTTTACTTATTTTGAAAAAAGCTAAAAAACATGATAACTCAAAAATGGTTCACTTTTGCATGATGCATATGGGGATTAAAGTTATCGCAAATCGTCACCCCTATCACCTCCTAACGGGAATACTTACTTCGAATTACCAATAACCCTGTACATACAATCATATATCATTTTAAAAACGCAAGATGGATGGAACTATATAGATGTGTTTTGTGATAGTGTAAATATTAATATAATAGTCTAATTACTAAATTATTACTTCCATCGTTAAATTCAAAAATCTATTGTCAAAAAAAACAGGTTGCTTGTGTGCTAAAGGTTATTATAATTAATGATTTCAGAGAAGATGCCACGTCTTGGGAATGATGTGATCGACTCCATGCTACTTGAATTTTTGAATAATTTTTAAAAAAGCCAAAAAAAGTTGTAGTCCCGCTAAGTTTCTTCTTCCAGAACTGGTACAAAAATGTAGATAATAAATAATATAATTATTAATGGTGAATAAAATATTTTGAATTTGAAGGTTTATTTCTCTTTTATATAATAACATGATTTTTTCTCTAATAATAAAAAAAGAAAAGGATATCTTAAAATTAAAATAAAAACCCTAATATTAATAAATAAAAAAGTTAAAGGTCATCTGACATCTAATGGTTTTATTTGAAACTAAATTTCTAATATTTTGTACTCAAACCGTAGCTTATTAATAATGCCACTGTCTCATAGATGGCGCTTCACATATAATTTATTCTACTTGTTAACAGATGGCAGGATTATGCAGTTATTAGTTATATCTATACATTGTAATGAAATTCTTATTGAAATAATCATTATTATCGATACAGAGGCCTAATCTTTAGTATTTAATATTTTTGTCTGTCTCTCTATCTGTCTGGGAACGCATCACGAGAAGACCACTGGACAGATTTTGATGAAATTTGGTCTGATGATAGCTGGTTATCCGGATCCATATATAGGACTAGAAAATGTTACTGCTGGAAAATATCTCATCTCTGAGAAATCTACACTAAACGTTAAAACGTAACTAGGAACGAAACCGAGTGGAATGACTATGAGGGTGAGTCGTTAGTACTCTATGTATACGTATAAATAAAATTGAAGTGTCTGTTTGTAATGTCAAAATAACAACTTTTTACTAAATGCATATGGAATTATATACGGTATTTATAAGAAAAATACATTTTTTTAAATTTTTGTCTGTCTGTCTGTTTGTTCCGACTAATCTCCGAAACGGCTGGGCCGATTTTGATGGGACTTTCACTGGCAGTTAGCTGATATTATAAGGGGTAACTTAGGCAACTTTTATTTCAGTAAAAGAATTAGGGTTCCGCTCAAAAAATTTAAATGTAGGTGGGACGAACCCGATAGAAGCGAGGGTGTCGCTAGTAAATGTAATATTAATGATAATATTTCTTTCTAGAGTTAAAATATTGAATGCTATTAAGTAGGTATCTATGGGTTAATATTAGCGGAATTAAAACGAAAATTTTCATAAGACTAAAATAATTTACATACCTACATTACTTGTATTACATACATACATACCATAATTAGCAATTAATAGAAAAATAACTAAACCTGATATCTTTGAATTTATTTGATTGATGGAAATAAAACTAAGCTGCTGAGAATTTGCTGTTTAGTCTATTACTTACGATGTTCAGGAAATTCAAATATGTTAGAAAGGAAAGAAATTAATACAACTCATACAAGTTCACTTTCACGTATATGGCCCGAAATATCCACATAAAACAGAACAGCAAGCTCTTGACGCGTTTAGATTTCCTTCTTGGGCCTTCCACAGTGGAGCGCGAGTACTCAATCTGCGTAACAAAGGTTCTCTCGTAAGAACTCGAAAACTGATTTCCCAGCTTACGAGTTTTTGCGTATTGGTGAAACCCCTTGACACCTTTCGACATCCTTATCGATCACATTGAAATTACGTTCGAGTCACAACATATCAAAGGTCAAAGGTCGCGAAAAAGTTTTTGTTTGAAATATGTACCTTGTTTTTCAACCGACTTCCTCAAAAAGGAGGAGGTTCTCAATCGGCTGTATTAGTATTTTTTTAATGTTTGTTACCTCAGAACTCCGTCATTCATTATCCGATTTGGACAATTTTTGTTTTGTTTGAAAGTGTATACTTCCAGATTGGTCCCATTTAAATTTGAAAAAAACATACCGCTCCTAAGAGTGGAAAAATAGCTAATAATGAAATTAACCTACTTCTAATTGTCATATTGACTTGAAACTTTGCAAGTGTTTCTATTTCCGTTGATAGTACATTGGTTCGGTATCGTTGACCTGATCTGATGGTAAGGCCAGAAAGTGGATAGGTGGAACTCTTCAACGGCTAATAGTTGATACTTTGAGTTTGGGCTTATTTTGTTTGATTTAACAAGCCTAACACGTTAGAATTCTTAATTTGCTACTATTGTCTACACTAAAAAGGGAAAAATAAAAACTTTTTAACAAAAAAAAAATAAAAACCGACTTTAAACAAAAGCACTAACAAGTACAAAATAACTGATTGGTAGTTTTCATTTACTATACATACCTAATCAAATAATTTCGAAGTCGGTGCCAGCCGATACAAAGCAAAACACACTAGTGCTTTTGTTTGAAGTCGGTTTTTATTTTTTGGTAAAAAAGTTTTTTTGTTGTTTAAAAAAGATTTGAAATCATGCGAAAATACTAAACCGTAAAGTTTTTACAATATGGTCTTTATGTTTCGTACCATCAACTATTCTAGAGTTAGAGCGCTAAGAAGAAAAAGCTTTTTACATTGTATAATTAAAGGTACATAATAATAGTTTTTTGCTTTTTTACTTTATATGACTGTACTAAAATGTTTCATTTTAAATAAAACTATTTTTTCGGGTAGATTTGCGGATTTATTTTGATGTTTGGTTCCCGACGTTTCGAATGCTTTACAGCAATCATGGTAAAACACCCGAAACGTCGGGAACCAAAATTCAAAATGAATCCACGAAATAATCCGAAAAGATATTTTTATTTAAAATGTCAAATATTAATTCACCCATATAAGGCAAAGAAGTTGTAAGCATCTTTCCTAATCTGTTTTAAAGCTCGTTTGTCGAATATGTTTAAAATACCAATACACAATTAATACTCCCAAGTAAAAAAAAACAGTTACATAAAACCTCCTTAATTGTAGCTTAAAAAGAATTAAAAAAGTTGTAAATAACATTAAAAAATTTAATTAATATTATAAATCTTACTTTGATCTTTTCTCTTCACCACTGAACCCTAAAATATATTTGTATTTTATTTAAATCTTTTCAAAGAAATTGCATGTTATGAAACGAAGTGTTATTTGTTTTGATAACAAAATAACATATGAGAGATATTTCAATTTCTTTTTTAAATTTTCGATATACAGTATGTAATTTAAGTTGATAGGACAGGTGTCTATCAGGCTATGATTGTATCACCTAACAATTACTTCAAAAATTCTTACTTAATAAAGTGTATATATATTATATGTAGTTCAAAAGTTTGTACGTTCGTCATATTTTGATAATTAAGATTTGCAAACAACTGAAGTTCTTTTGAATTACTTTTGAAATGTCATAAACTTTAATTTATCGATAATGTGTAATGTAATAACTGTATTAAAATTTTACCTTTTTTTATCTTGAATTATTGTCAAAATAACTAAAATATTCTGTGTTATGAATCTAATAGAAAACCGTTCAGAATCTTATTCAATCTAAAATAACAGACGATAAACTCAGATGTCTTGATATTTAGATTACAGCTAGCGACTCACCCTCGCTCCGTTTGTGTTCGTCCCTAGTTACGTTTTAACGTTTAGTACAGATTTCTCAGAAATGAGATATTTTCCGGCAGTAAAAAGTATCCTATATCTTGACCCGAAAAACAACTATCATCATACTTTTCATCAAAATCTGTCCAGTGGTTTTCTCGTGATGCGTTACCAGACAGTCAGGAAGACAAAAATTCTAAAAATTTGGCCTCTGTATCGATTATAATCATGACTATTTGAATATGATTTTCAAAAAAAATATTTAATGTATAGTATCCACTCGCTTAGAATTTTATCATATGTATAGATATAATTATGCAACACATACGGTGTACCATACATATTCGTAACATAATATGAATAATTTTAGTAATAAAAATGGGGTAAGAAGCCTTACTATTCTTCTCGAGGCCGTAAATATAGCTTTGTTAGGGATCTTTGGTAACTTATGCAGTATAGAGACTATAAGTGCCACATGATTTATCAAAATAAGATACATTTTAAAGTAGCCTAAATTATTTTTTCTAGTTAATAAACTCTATGAAAAAAAATGGGTTGCTCCTGTAATCTATTATTCTAATTCAAACGTAACGACCGACATACATTTCCGCATTAATAATAAGCGGTAAAGATTATTACTTTAAGGAGATTATGTGACTTTAAAAGAAATTATGAAATTTTACAATAAAAGTGTACACGTTAAAAGCCCATTAAACACCTTTTTGCTTTTAAAAGACCGGATTTTATAAGTTTAATATTTATATGAAAAGCCAGTGAAAATCATTGTACTATAAGCTCTACTTTTTATAAAAACCATTTCATGGCAAGTGTTACTCCATAACGGTCCTTTCGCGCGAAATTCAGTTGAAGAAGTTGATTCAGAAATAAAATGTTCAAATTTTTATCTAAACTAGAAGATCCTGAACATCCCTTACTTGGCCCTACACTGTGGGGTCTGCAGACTTGGGGCATGTGGCAACCCATTAGGGGAAAAATCAAAATTATTTATAATACTATACACTTACTAGCTATTATATTTGTGATTACGCAATATGTGGAGCTTTGGTATATTAGATCGAACCTGGAGTTGGCTTTAAGAAATTTATCAGTTACAATGCTAAGCACAGTGTGCGTTGTTAAAGCTACAACATTTATTTTATGGCAAAAATCCTGGGCAAATATTTTTGAGTACGTTTCAACTGTAGAAAAGCAGCAATTAATCCGTCAAAATGCTAAAACAAAGAACATCATCAAACAATACACTAAGTACTCCCGAAAAGTGACCTACTCCTATTGGTGTCTGGTCACTGCCACTGTTTTCACTGTAATTTTGGCTCCTCTTGCATCATATATTTCATCTGAACAACGTCGGGAACAGATTGCGAATGGTACAGCTGCCTATCCAGAGATTATGAGTTCCTGGACACCTTTTGATAAAACTCGTGGAGTTGGATATTGGGCACTAGTTATAATTCAATGTCTAATTTGCTTTTATGGAGGTGGCATTGTAGCTACATACGACTCTAATGCTGTTGTTTTAATGTCATTCTTTGCTGGTCAGTTTGAATTTTTGAGGGAGAAATGTGCGGATCTATTTGGAAATGGTAACGAATTCGTAAGTTATAATACAGGAGTGAAGAGGATCCGAGAGTGTCATATGCATCATGTATTGCTAGTAAAGTAATTAATTATTGGGATATTATTTATATGCCTTTTTATTTTTTATATGACCACTAGCTCTATTATAAAACTTTAGATATATTTTCGTTCTAATATTAGATTATAGTGAGTAACGTTGGGTGAAGCCAGAGGATGCAAATAAATACAAATTTACTGAAAATAATTTATTAAATTATTACTAATTAATAATGTCCTCCGGACCGAATCCGTCCACGGCGGCCAATCTCATTGAGACTAGCCAACTGCGCAGGAGATATTATAGTGCACAAGTGTACGCGCAGACACAACGTGCACTCTCTATTCCTTTTCATCTCAAAGTCCGATAGGACGATACTTCGACACGACCAGTGAGAGTTTAGGCGCTAAAATAGTTTTAAATTTTATTGATTTTTTTTTCAGGTATGCAAAATTATGTAATTCTCTTCTTTCGCCAGTATTGTTTTTGTACGTAATCATCTGCTCTCTAATGATATGTGCCAGCGCAGTACAAATAACTACAGTATGTTTTTATAATCATAATATTATATTCTTTTCTACTGTCACTGTACGGTACTCTCTATGAATTTTAAAAAATTGTAGTGTTTATTTTTAACTTGGAAACTTGATTAATTGAAAATATTATTGCGACATGGGTTAGATTAGTTAATTTTAGAGCATTATTAGTTAAATAAAAATTATATATATTTCAATACTTTCGAATTTTCCCATCGATGCCCTGTTTTATATATGAACAACGATATACAAAAGAACTTTTTTAACATGCAAAAAATATGTTTGTAAAATGAATAGGAGCTTGAACGAAAATTATTATTTCAGTATATTTTAATTCTAGGAAGGCACAACTACGATGCAACAGGTGTGGATAGCCGAATATCTTGTAGCACTCGTAGCTCAACTCTTTCTATACTGTTGGCATAGTAATGAAGTTTTGTATATGGTATGCATTTTTCCAAATTTTTATTTATCTTACTTAAATCAGATTATTTAGGTTAGTTGACTTACAATAAAAATGAAAGTCGGCCGACTGAAAGTCGTATGGAACAACTGTTAGTTTTTTTAAATTCATCCCCATAAGGTGTCAAATGTGGGGTGAAAGTTTATATAACTCCACTCAGTTTTACATAGCTTAGTAATTTTTTGTCGGAACTGTAGCTTTACTAAGAGACAACAGACGCATACGACAAATAAGTCAACTAGTAGGTCCAAAGTGCACATATATATAAAATATCGGTGACAATATCATGTCACAATTTACATTGTAAGATAATGGAGTTAGAAGATGGTAATAGGAAATTCTTAGTGACATGGTTTTTTTTGTTAAATCCTTTTAATTAAAATTTTACATATCAAAATATTCGGGTAGATATGAGAAAGTATTACGTCAGAAAAAATGATACATAATTAACTATTTCCAAAATTATTTATAATACTTTTCTAGACATATTGCGAGAAAAGCGACAAAAAAGGTAATATAAACAGCTAATTATAATTCTATTTCAGGCTTCAGTTTAGACGTTCTGCACGTTTCCTCTATCGTTTTGCTTTAGTCTAAAAATAGTATGCATCTCACAGTTTCGATTCCTACTTCACTTACACATTTTTTTAGTTTTTGAAATGCGTTTACGCATACCACTTGTATACAACAAATGGTTAATATGTAGGACTAGAAAAGCTAGTATTACCCACTAAAACCCAACAGAACCTCACTTCCGCACTGAACTGGACGGTCTGTCTGCAGAAGATACCAGATGCTAGTGTTCCCCCACCAGGACAAGATGAACACAAATCATTCCCACATTACTTGGGATAACTCAAGCTCCACACTAGAGAAAACTCAAACTATATGGGCTAAAGTTGATCAATTAATGGCATACATAAAATTTAGATTATTTTTAACCGACTTCCAAAAAGGAGGAGGTTCTCATTCGTCGGAATCTTTTTTTTATGTAAGTATGTTACCGATTACTCGAAGGCGCCTGAACCGATTTGGATTTTTTGTTTCGAAGGGAATACTTCTCAGGTGGTCTCATTTAAATTTTATCGAAGTCGGTCGAGCATTTTTTTTTTAAAGTCATTTTTTTAAACTAAATAAATATTTTCGAAGTCGGTGCCAGCCGATGCAAAGCAAATCTAATGTATATGTATTTCAATACGTAAAATACATAACAAATTGATGTATCATATTTTAACTAAATATAATTAGAGTTCATACCAAATCATATTTACCTATTAGATATTCATATCTTAAAATATTGTAGGTATTTATTTTAAATGAAAAGCCCCGTTTAGTTATTTTGCACATTTTGGTGCCGGGACCTTGTTTTGTTTTTTTAAAGTTTTTATAATTTAAATACTATCCAAAATCTAGTTGAGAAAAATTTCATAATTTTAGAGTTCAAAAGTGGATGAAGGAGTATACGCAAGTGCATGGTGGTCACAAGGTGTCCGTATCCGGCGCATTATTCTGCTGCTCGGAGGACAGCTTGATAGAAGCGTGATTTTCACAGCTGGACCCTTCACCAACCTTACTGTTGCTACGTTTATTGCTGTAAGTATACATCTAGATGATGTTGTTGTTATGATGTAAGTAGTATATTCCCAAAAGGTTTTCAGTAAATTAAAAATGTTATTAAATATAGGCTGTATATAATAAAATTCTAAGTGAGTCGAATCTGTACATTAATTATTTTTTGCAAAATCTTATTGAAATAAACATTATTATCGATACAGAGGCCGAATCTATAGTTTTAGAATTTTTGTCTGTCTGTTACCGCATCACAGAAAAACCACTGGAGGGATATTGATGAAAATGTCTTATTTCTGAGAAAAAAATGCAAAAACTGCAATGTAAGAATATACTAATATATAAAACATAAGAATTTGGTTTTTGGTCATCTGAACGCGGGCAAAACCACGGGCAATGCTAGTAGTATAAATGATGGATTTCTAAAAAGGGCGCTTGAATTTCAAGGTCAAAGTTACTGGTGTCAATTTCAACTTGGGAGATTAAATATATTAATTTAATTAAAATCATCAGAAAAATCGTGTTCATGAGTAAACATTATGATCCAAATTAGGTTTGACCTTTCTTCATTTGGTGCAGGAAACGCTCAATGATATCAAATTTGATTTAAAGGGTCGAATTACCAAAAATTGGATATCTCGGAAGGCGCGATGGTTATTTCGCTAATATTTGAATTTTCAAATAAGCTTTTATATTGTTACTTAAAAATACTTGTTTTCATTTCATATTAAAGCAAAATTTCAAATGTCTTTAAAAATATTTTTATATTATTCTTTTCCTTTCGTCTACATATACTATCGTATAAGATAGTGCTTATAATAATAAGCTATATGTAGTTCTCACATTGCAGCGATGCCCTACAAATTTTTTACTAGTTACTACGGCATTGTGCTAGCTTAAGAATTGTGACTTCAAATTGTATTTAATTCTTTTACAGATTTTAAAAGGATCATATAGCTATTATACGCTTTTGAGCCAAAAGGAAGATTAGAACAACACGGTTTAAGATATATAAGCTACTAGCATTGCCCGCGGCTCCGCCCGCGATCAGATGACCAAAAACCAAATTCTTAGGTCTTACATATCTCTATATTCTTACATTGCAGTTTTTGTATTTTTTCTCAGAGATATGATCCCGCAGTAAAATGTATCCTATATGTTGACCCGGATAACCAGCTATCTCCATACCAAATTTCATCAAAATCCCTCCAGTGGTTTTTCTGTGATGCGGTAACAGACAGACAGACAAAAATTCTAAAAACTATAAATTCAGCCTCAGTATCCAAAATAATGTTTGTTTCAATAAGATTTTCTAAAAAATATTTAATGTACAGATTCGGCTTAGTTACAATTTTATTATATGTATAGGTTTATATTTAAGTTATTAGATATCCACGTCTCCATTTCGACGAATGTTTTCAATAAAGGAAATCTAATAAAGTCACCGTAATAGCCCGCCCTAACGGTCTCAAATACGTACAAACCCATTTTATCATTTATTCACAACAATAAAGCGTACTCGTACTATTCCTTTGTTTATTAAAACCTCATTCTCATTCATAGTTCAAAACGTTAATCTAATATATTATGTTTTTGGAAAGAATCAGGAGTAAGCTTTAGATTCTTTTTGACAACGGTTTTAGTTTTCTATCCAGCCATAATATATCTATAGGTACATATAATAAAATTGTAACTAAGCCGAATCTGTACATTAAATATTTTTTGAAAAATCTTATTGAAATAGACATTATTATCGATACAGAGGCCGAATTTATAGTTTTTGGAAATTTTGTCTGTCTGTCTGTCTGCTACCGCATCACAGAAAAACCACTAGAGGGATTTTGATGAAATTTGGTGTGATGATAGCTGGTTATCCGGGTCAACATATAGGATACTTTTTACCGCGGGAAAACATCTCATTTCTGAGAAAAAATACAAAAACTGCATTGTAAGAGTATACTAATATGTAAAACCTAAAAAATTGGATTTTGGTCATCTGAACGCGGGCGGAGCCGCGGGTAATGCTAGTAATTAATAAAAGGAAAATTTTTAATCTTTGATGAAAAACCCTGCCTCCGCAGGTATACTTAAAGTGAGAGCGATTAAGCTTTATAAGGTAGTAGCCTAAAGCTAACGTATTCGTTTGAAAAACTACGCGACGCGGATCCAAACCTGATATTTTCATGTGCGAATTATTTTCAACATGTGCTGCGTACGTTTCACTTGTCTTAAATGAACATCGTAGAGTAATCTCAGTAGTTTTTAAAATACATAATTTTAGTGATTTTATGTGTTTTTCTTCACCATATTAGTAAGTACTAAATGATATTAAATTCACATATTATTACATACTTTGAAATCTTTAAGCTCGATAAGTTTATTGTTGCTTTGGTCCACTTCGTGGTAAATTTCGCCATGTGGGTGTCAATTAAAACAAAGATTTAAAGAATATAATAATTTGATTTTCTTAGCCCACTTGTATTTTTCCTAGTGTTCGCCTAGTGGTCGAAATTCGATACATAATCATTATTATTAAAACTACTTCTAGGGTCTAGTGGCTAAAAAGTACGTCTGCAGATACTAAGGTCCTGGGTTTGAATCCCGGGTCGGGCCAAGTTTAATTACTGAGATTTTCTGTTAAGTTATTCTCAGTCGTAGCCCGCAGTTGACGGTGTTGCTCCCCCTGGCCTCGGAGAACACGTAAAGCCGTCGGTCCTGCGCCTTGACTCTCATAGGTCGTGTCGAAGTATCGTCCCATCGAACTTTGAGAGTAATAGGAATAGAAAGTGCACTTGTGTCTGCGCGAGCACTTGTGCACTATAACATCTGTGCATCTGCCTAGTCTCAATGAGATTATCCACCATGGATGAAATCGGTCAGGAGAATATTGCTACTATTAAAACATATAATATGAATAAAATTTACCTAAGTATCTAAAAAAACTGTTGCCAATTTTTTTTATTGATAACACTAATTAAAAAATCTGTTGGTAAACACAGAAAAAAAAGGTGTTGAACTGCTTTGTGTTTGCCTATGTTTGTAATTACTGTAAGTTAAGGCGAAATCTTAAAATAATCCCTTTGTCACTTAATATTGCAAGCTTGTCTACTCTTATTAAAAAAATATTATTTGCACTATTTAGTATACAAGTACAATACGTTTATGTCATTAGAGTGTTAAATAACTTTCACAATTGTTAACAATATGTTTAAATATATTAACAGAGTAATAAAAAAATCAGTGCGAAAAAAAATCTTTGTGTTTTTTATTTCTTACCTAAACCTATCGAGATTTCAAATCTTAGTATAATAAATATAAAGACACAGAGGAAGGTCATGATCGTATTGTAAACTCGTACCATAAGTTTTCTAAATAAATCTGGGCTCATCTGAGCTGTATTAGGTATAATTGTAAATTAAGCTGTCGTGATACATAAAACTTCTTATACAAATGCATTACAGAGGAATCCATACTAATATTATAAATGTGAAAGTGTGTTTGTTTGTTTGTCCTTCTTTCATGCCGAAACAGATCCACAGATTGGAGTGTTTTTGTGGAGATAGTTAGAGGACTGGAGAGTGACATAGGCTACTTTTCACCGCGGGAGATAATCTCATTCCCAAGAGAAACACGTTATAGTACAACCGAAAAAAATTATGTATGATCAAAATTTCTTGATATTGGGTATTAATGCTCTTCAATATAATTAATTAAATACATGTTGTAGCATTTTTCAAAATTCATCCCTTAAGGTGGTAAAATAAGGGATGGAACTTTGTATGAAACCTACCCGCTTAGGACTTTTTTTGTAGTTTTAGCGCGAGCGAAGCCGCGGGTTCTACTAGTAAACTTATAATAAATATATTGTCACTTCTGTTAAGGTTAAAGAAATAAAAAATGTAAAGTGCTATACTTTTTTATTTCATAGTAATATAATAAATATTAGACATTTCTTTTCAATATATTGATATTGTGCAAGAATATTCGTATCTACCCACTAAAAATGATTACTACGTATTCTATCCTTCTTTTTCATGCATCTGAGTAAATAAGGTGTAGAAGCTGTAAGATCCTTTCAGTATCTGAAAAAAAAAAGTTTTAAATAAAAACAATACCTGCGGACTACTGTAGAGGGATCCCAGGGAAATTTGCTTAGACGTTACAATTTAATTACGAGAAACCTACTAATTAATACTTCCTCTGCCCCTTCGTACAGTGCTTTAAGTGTGATTAAGCGTTCGTTTGTTTTGACTATTTTGTCAAACCTATCAAGAACATAATTTCAATTCTGTATAACAATTCAAAATACAAAATTCAAAATATTTTATTCAGCATTAAATTATTACATTTTTTTACTGAACGTCACGAGTCTACTACCAGTTCGGAAAGAAGAAGCCTCAGACTTGAGAAGAACTGGCGAAAGAAACTCAGCGGGACAAATTTATTTCATTATCTTTTTTTTATAAAGTTAAATTATAATTTACAATATTTCTATATGTATCAAGTTGAAGTAGTAGTATCAGTAAGTAATTTTAATAATATAACGCCTAGTTATCGAAAGTCAAACTTAATCATTATTGAAAATTTGAGGAAAATATATATTAATAGAATTTACCTATCTATATAAAAAAAATCGAATTGTTTCCAAAATCTTTTAATTGATAACACTGAATAAAGCTCGTCAATAGCTACATGCAAAAAAAAAAGAAAATCCGTTGACAAAGACAGGAGGAAAGGTACTAAACTATTTTGTCTTTGCCTATTATTTATTGTCTACATATAATACTTATATGACTTTACATTTTTAAACGATTTCAAAAATGGAAAAAGTTCTCAAAATATTTTAAACACAAGTTTTTATATCACATAAATTATGTAATAAATGAGTTTTATTTAATTTAAAGTATTTTTTTTTTATTTTTTAGGTATTTATTCGCATTCTTCTCAGGAAATTCTTTCATTTGATATTCATATCATGTGGGTGCATAAAAAAACATAGTCCGTCATCGTTGGGAGTCCGCCATGTTGGATTTAGAATGACATCTCATAAAAACCATGCATTGGTCACGTAAACTAAATCTATATGCAAAATTTCTGCTAAATCGGTTGGGGATAACTGCTTTAGAAATCAGTTGCAACATTTGACTCGAACAAACATACATACAAACATTGCTAGTTAAATAAAAGCTTGTAAAATCAAAAGAAACTTACGTCAATGAATGTAGACATAGAAAATGTAGTAAATGGTCCAGCTTCCAGTATAAATGTAGGCGCTAACTTCCCGGCTAAGAGGAGAATTTGTCGTCTTATCTCTACGTCTCCTTGCCACCAGTTGCTGGTATACACACCTCTATCTACTGATTTACTCTAAATAAAAAGTACATAGTAATAATAATAAAAATACATAATATTTTTTAGATTTATGCGAATATTTGACATTTAAAAATTAAACTATTTTTTTCAGGATTTATATTATAGATTTTTGTTCCCGACGCTTCGAAAGCTTTACAGCAATTATGGTCACGGAAGAGATTAGGTTTTAGACGTATCAAAGGACTTGTTATAGACAGTGCCTAAAGTTAAGTTCAAAAATGGCACCAAAGTACCTTACAATATTTGTTGATTGTAATTCTACATATTTTATAAATGTTTAATAGTAGGTAGGTACTGCTTGTAACAAGTATACCTATATTATAATGACATTTTTAAATAAATACAATTATTATACATACTTTTCATGATAAATATATATATATATATATATATATATATATATATATATATATATATATATAAAATAGATATAATACAATTATAAAAAAATATATAATAAAATAATGCATTTAATACAAACATTGTTTTGTTTCATTAACAAAATAATAGAATTAAAATATATGTATATTTTTTTATTTTGTATATTTTTTTTGAGGAGCGATATATATTTTTTGTATTATGTAGCGAAACCTACTTCATGCGCGATTTCATTGCTATGCCAACAGTATAAAAAAAGCTGGACCGCCAACGCCATAGTATATTCAAAGACCCATAGCTTTTGTGACATTGTTTGTTTACCCTGTAAAAATACAACATATTATCTATACATATAAAAAATTCTAAATGAGTTGAATCTGTGCATTACATATTTTTTGGAAAATTTTATTGAAATAGTGATTATTATCTGTATACAGAAGCCGAATCTATAGCTTTTAGAATTTTTGTCTGTCTGTCTTCCTGTCTGTCTGTCAGGGAACGCATCGCGAGAAAACCACTGGACAGATTTTGAGGTTGGATGATAGCTGGTTATCTGGATCAATATTTCGATTACTTTTTACTGTGAGAAAATATAATATCATCTCTGAGAAATCGATATGGGACGAACCCGAGTGGAGCGGGAGTGAGTCACTAGTATATTTATAATATTAAATGAGCCATTCTTGTTAATGTTTCATATTACGAAAACCTTGACCAAACTCGCACTTGTCCGATTTTTATATTTTGATATAAAACTTTTGAATAAGCATAATGAGAAAATTGTGATATAAAACAATTATAAAATTCAAAATTATTATAAGTAGGGGCTATGTTTATTGATTGTAAACTTTATAGAACGAGCAAAAGCAAAGGAAAACGCTTGTAATAGGATAAAGATGGTCTTACCAGACTTAATTGTACGACGCTACAGCATATCATTATAGAACAAACTAACATGTAGATAAACATTACTGGCGAAATATTTGAATTGAAGATTTTGTATTGCCTGTGAAAAAAATAATTTAATAATATTTTAAACTTTTTTGTTGCGGTCATCCAACAGAATAAACATTAATACATGATCATATAAAAATTTGTATATGATACACATTTACAAATTGTATTACACGTACCTAAAATAATACGTTCTGTAATCAATAAGTGTTATTCAAATTGTGTTTATTTAATATAATAATAATAATAATAATAAGCCTTTATTCGCCAAGATAACAACACCTAGGAAAAGTTTTATATAATTTTTAAGTATTACAGTTAAATAAAATTACATTACATACGAAATTACAAATACATAGAATAATACTTATGAATCATAGCTATTATTGACATAATAAAATGAAAATGTTTTTTTTTTTACAAAACATTCCTTTTATAAAAATTGTTTTTTTTTCTGTTTTTTTTTATTATTTTTTTTTTAATTCGTTTTTTTTTATTATTATTATTATTTTCGGGTATAGGCCTCCTCCATCCGCTTTATTTCTGACAAGCCAAGTATATCCCTTTTTATGTTTTGAAGAGCATATTCAAGTTCATTTTTTCTACCTTCAGCAACAAGAGAGCGTATATTATACGTTCCAATATGTAAGTGTTTCATTTGGATGGAGGGTGGTGGTCTACTGCTCCCACGGGGACCGGCCGTATTGGGAGAGTTATTTGTTTTTTGTGATATAATATTTTTGTTGCTTGTAGTTGCGTGGAGAGGGGCCTGTTTTAATTGCTAATTTTGTGCTAAGTTTGAAGTAGATGGAGATACTAAATATGACTCTAATGTTTTATTCTTTTTTGCTGTATTTAATATATTTCTTTTTGGTGTTTTTTCAGTTTCCGGGGAAAAAATAGGTTTTCTTTTATTAGTGTTTGTATGGTTGTATTCCTTAATAAATAAATTATTTTCCTGTTTGGTAAATAACGTAACTATTTTGTCTCTTCTCATTACTATTTTTTCACCATTTTGTTTTCTACTTCTGTATTCTTCCTGTAGCTCTTTCCTTCTTTGTAAAACTTTTTGAGTGTAGTCTTCTTTTATATAAAGTCCTCTTTCCTTTAAATATTTACTATTTCTTAATATGTCTATTTTAAGCCCCATGGTGTTTGTTTATTTAATATGCATATACATATTATGTATGTGCATATTAAAAATAGAAAAAAGCAAAGAAGCATATTTTTTTTGCGTTTTATTTATATCGTTTTTTTTTACTTTCTTTATTTTGCTTTCACTGAACTGTTTTTCGTAGATAAGAAAAGGAAATAAAGTGTATTGTAATGGTTTCAAAGTGTTATTTTTCTCGCCCTTGGGAAATACTGGAATAATAGAGACAAATTTCTTTCTCTATGCTTCTCTAATCAGAGTGACAGACTTGAAGTCTTTTATACTCGTAAAATTGAACTTTGATCAACTTTTATTTTTTATTTTTATAATATGTTAATCGAAGTAATTGTAGAATAGAAATTCTAAAAATTGTACTGAATTGACAATGTAATTATTATGACATAAAACTATACATACCATTGGCCAAGTAATCTATGCTTTACTGGCACGCTTTGAAGCCATTAACAAGAAAATTTAATTGAATTGTAAGGCCGTAACATGTCAATGGGATATATTTTTTGGATTTGTATTCTTCAGTGATTGTAGTATGGCACCATGTCTAAGCCCTAAAAGTGGTCTCTCGTAATGTATATCGCACTGCGCTACAATATTTGAAAAACTGTTACTTACTCAATAAAAAAATTATGCAGCCGATGACATTCCCTTATATTGTTCAATATTTCGTCCCTTGAAATTTTATCTTTACCACCAAAAATATTTTCACATTTATATCGTAAAATCTGCATTTGACCCTTCAAAAATGACATTATGGAAACAGCAGTGGAATCGTATACAGCTACAACACCAGCCCCCTGAATAACCATTGAAATATGAACAATCACGGCCACCAAATAACCTGGCAATACAGTGTGGTTAAAGGGAAACCAAGAGCTCATTATTTGCGGTAATGCCTCAGTACCATTTTTAACCATTTCACGTAAATTATTCGATGTGAATTTTAAAAATGGGGAGAAAATGATAACAATGGTGGTCAGGAACATAACCAACCAATATAAATAAGTCACAAGCCTTGAATGTTCTTTGTATTGACTCATATATTTAAGTACTTTAGCGTCGCCTTGAGCGAGAGCATCAATTTCCTCGCTAGATATATTGTTGATTAGCACTCTCCATTTTCTAATATATGTCAAGAAAAATAATGTTTTGGCTATTGACACGAGGGACAAAGCGGTGATAGCTATGTTAAAAAGAACACTCATCAAATCGTTTTCCATAAAATATAGTTCGGCAAACTGGCTTATTACGTAAAGCAATGAGCAGAAATGTATAAAGTTAAACAAGGCATCTCGATATTTGCGTTTGCCTTGCCAGAGGCCAAACCAATAAAGTCCTACAATATTGGGACCTAATAAAGGGTTTTTAGAATCCTCAAGCCGTTTAACGGTTAGAATGATTTTTTTATACAGCATTTTTCTTTAGTACGCTAGAAATATTCTGCTTTAATATTTTTTTAAACTTATAAAGCGTGGAATGTGGTTATGCAAAATTGAAAAATTTAGTTTTTAATATTAAATTAACAAATAAAAACCAAAAACGTCGAGTACGTACGTACGTATATATAGTATATGTTTCTGTAGAAATGCCATAATACAATGATTGTTAGAAAAATAATGATGTGAAATTGAAATAAATTATTGCAAAAAAAATGCTGCAGGCATTGTTAGAAACAGAATACCTACATACTTGAAGAAAATTCAATCATCATTAAAAGCTGTAATATATATAAATCTAACATAAGTTTAAGGTTTTATCACTTGTTCCTTAATAATGCCACGCGCATAAACCATAAAAAGTGCATTAATAGTGCATTTTTTTTTATATTTTTTGCTAGCTGGGCGCATATTATTCATCTCTAAATAATATAAAACAATGTCGCTACTCTAGCATGCAGCGACCACAATAAAGAATTAAAAAAATAATACATATTTATTGCATAACAGAGTCCTTTGAATTTAAAATATAACTGCTAATTTTCACCATCCTTAATATGCAGTTTACAAAAGTAATTTATCATTTGAATATTTTCTGTTCATTTAGAATTCAATTGCGACCAGAAGTGGCTCATTAAAATAAAATAAGCAACAAGCACTGTGTTTTCTTAATTATTCGTTATTTCTTTGTATTCCATATTTTTTTAATTCATTTAATACTAATATTTCATTTGGTTTTGTTATATTATTTATCTATTTAGTGCATATTGCCTCATAATGAGAAGATACAACGAACGTATAATTAACAATTTCAATCTTGTTTTCGATATTACTTTCTTAGATTTAGGTGAATTTTCGATTTTTTTAATTATAATTATTTTTCAGAATTTTCCGGTTTTATGTTGGTTACTTAGTCCCAATGTTTCTAATACTTTACAAAATACCTGGTCTTAAAAGTTTCAAACATCTCAAAATCTAAGTTACTACAGGTAGTGCCCACAAACACCAAAAATTTTTTTATAATTTGGAATAATAAAGAAATGGTACACAAGTGCTATACTTTTAAAAAAAACTGCTTTGTAATTATTTTTTTAGTTTTCTAGGTAAATATTATGTATGTTTAAATTTGCAAAGGAATAGGAATTGAAATATGCAAAGATGTATAGATATAATAATAACATATAATACCTAATTGTTGATGAATTTCAAAGAATTTATAAAAAATGCATCGTTCATTTGAAGAAATTCCTGAAAAAAAATTAAGTAATTATCGTCCGGACCCTGTCACATACCATTACACTAAACAGTATATAAAGTATTTTTTTTTATACATGAACCAGCAGATTCAACAAATTTTTGTTCCTTTAAGAAACAAAAGTTTTGGCGTGAAGCCCAATACGTGCCCAGATTATAAATGATGTTTCCCAAATTTTAGATAAAGCACTTAAGAACGTACTCAAAGTGTTAATATACACAGCAGCCTTACCGATTTATTGACCAACCTAAAAGGTTTAAATTATTCCTATTAAAATCTATTTGTTTTTATAAATCATTATTTTTTTAAGGAAAGCCAAGAAGAATAAGCGAAAGAAAGAAATTGTAAAATATATTTTAATTTGGTATAAAAGCCCTCACGCTGAAAATCAAAAATATTTTACATTCAAGATTACTAATCTGATAAAAATTGTTCTCTTTAAATAAATAAAAAACTCAGATAGGACGCCTGTTCGTATTAAATTTATACTGAAACATATACATTATTCTGACTTATTTAACGTTAAAATAAAAAAAAAATAATATGAACTGTAGTACTAAATAATAATAATTTAATATCAATTTAGTGTGAAACTTGGCAAGTTCCCTACCGTGCGCCCACATTCTTACATTTTGTCGAGATTTTACCACATTTTATCTTCTCTAATACGTACTGAATACCGAATACTTATATATTCGAATGATGTAAAGAATTTCCGCAAGGCTTGTTAAGAGAATTTGCGCTATTTTTTCTTTCAAAATATTTCTCATCAAAAGAAGCCGCCTTTACGCCTATAAAAAGTATAGTATTGTGTAATATAAGGACATTAAAATTTGACTACACTAGGCTCAAATCCGATTTGAATGGAGAAAAATAAAGGTTTTTAAAAGTATGAGCATTGTTTGCACAAGGGCAAAGCCACAATTTGATGTTTTGCCTTTAAAAAGCCTGTAAATCTTATAATATTAAATGAAAATTCTCTTTATATATATATATATATATATATATATATATATATATATATATATATATATATATATTTCGAGATAAACCTATATATAGGTTTATCTCGAAAACGGCTCAAATAATTTGAATCAAATTTTGTATTTAGATAAGCTTTTGCTTTTTAAGTTTTTCTATATAGATGTCTTTTCTGAACTTTTTACAAAAAAAAAACGACTGCGTAAAAACCGAACTAAAAAAATGAGAACAAGTTTACGAAGGAATATAGTATTATGCAGTCGGAGATATATGTATGTATATGTTTTATACTAGCTGCGAGTCTTGCTACATGTATACAATACGAGTATGTCTCCGAAATACTATAGTATAATACTGTGTTCCTTCGTCAACTTGTTCTTATCTGTTTAGTTCGGTTTTTATGCAGTCGGGATTTGTTATTTTTTTTATTTAAAAAACACATAACCATAATATATTGTTCCCTAGAAAATTATTATCCTTTTACAATTTTATGATATTACTAGCTTTTGCACGCGGCTCTACTCACGATATTTATTTATTTATTATTACTGTACTCCTAAGGTTCATGGCGTAATGTAGGATAATAATATAATATATAACCAGTTTTTTAAAACTATAGTTCCATATACATTCAAATAAACAGTAAAATAAACAATCTTTTCAGTACTATAATATTAGCTTTTCAATTGTTTAATCATTCCATTTACATAGAACATTAATTATGAGGCGTATTGGTTGTGTGTATATCTGCGTTTAGAAAGCAAATATAAACCAAAACAAACAAACATCAAATGTTAACCACTAGATTTAGTATAAATTAATTAATCTTTAACCTATATATAAGTAAACATTAATGTTGTTTATGTTTGAACTCTACGCGTTCTTAAATCATTCTTCCGATTCGATCGAATAGATGCAGCAGTAACCAGTGTGCAATAATTGTTTTACATGCGTATTGAAATATTAAAAATATTTTTATATTAATCAAAGGATCAGCAATAAAATATTGATAGTCGTCAAACTTTGACTCCTCTATGATCTGAATATGATTGTTACTGAAACAGCATTTGATTGGGTATATTATTGGCGAAAATTAGGTAGTTTCATTTAAATTATTATTTGTGTATTTTATTATTTAGCCTTCTTCATCGTCCCACTGCTGGTCACGGGTCTTCTCTATTACTCAATGCGATGGGAACGGGGGATCTGGTCATAGTTCATTACGCTGTCCATTTTTCGTGTGAAAACCGGCCCCGTTGAAAACTATTCGTAAATGAAAATATAAGAGGTGCGAGATCCTTTACTGGAAAGAATTTCTCAAGCAAGTGCGTTAATACTGTGCTACTTCTACCTTGTCTCTTCTCTTCTTTACTATGACAAGCTTAAGGATGTAAGCTTTCCCATTGTACAACTTCTTACACAAAGCGTTACTTAATGTTGTCTACTTTAGAGAATTTTTAACTAGCGAAAAGCAGAATGAATTACAGATGACATGATGAATTATACAGGGTCATTTTTAATTTACTGAAAACCTTTTGGGAATACACTATTTACAACATAAAAACAACATCTGTAAGAAAAAAAATAATATATCTTAAATTTAACAAAAATAAGAATATTTTTATTGCATCTTCTAAACGGAAATAGTCCATAGCATTAGCAAAAGAAAGTACGTGTCCAGTGGAGGGGGAGGGGTGGAGGGGTGTAGGAAGCCACGCTTACTCATTTAAACTTGGCCAGATGCTAGAACAGTTTAGAAGATGCAAAAAAAATATTTTTATTTTTGTATGAAAATAAAAATTTCAGAAATATTATTTTTTATTGTTACAGATGTTGTTATATGATGTAAATAGTATATTCCCAAAAGGTTTTCAGTAAATTAAAAATGGCCCTGTGTAAACCTGTATTTAATATCTTTATTCAGTGGAAAATATTTATTTTCACAAGGGATTACATATAATATATTCAAAACACTCAAACATATGACTGAAACAGTTACTTTTGTTTTGCAATATTTGATGTAGTTTTTATTGAGTTTGATCATCTTTGTTATTGTAAAATTTAAAATTGTGAGTGAATTTTTCAAGGGATTTGATTGGATTCCGAAATTGAGAGCTTATTTTAACATGTAAGTTGTTTTACCAAATGAAAGTAGTAATATTTAATGTATTCGCTTTTAAGTTAATGCGAGATGATAAAAGCTTCGTGAAAATAAAGGACAGGAAAAATTTGTTATGTAATTTATTTACCATTATTATTAAGAGCTTTTATTCTTAAGATGAAAAGAATAAAAAAAATTAAGTAAAATTAAAGTAGCAAAGAAAGGGTTCTACTATCCTTCTAATAACTTATTAAAAGATAACAAACTAATAATTGGATCAGAGAAATAAAATGCTTTAGAAAATTTTAGGCCAGGCACCACGTAATACTTTATGTAATTATTTTTTTGGTCCGTTTGCGTACATATTATCCATATAAAAAAAGTCTGGACGAGTATACGAGTTTGTTTTAACAGTGTCGTGACCCTATATGAAGCAAGAAAACTGATTGCTTATCCAGGTCACAGTTAAAATTATAAACTAGTGATTTGACCATGTCTAATAGAAGTTCGTCTAAATCCGCCCAACATCTGCAGCGTGAAGGTGTAACATATAATTTAAATTTTAGTTTGAATGTGTGTATGTAACATAAATTCAAACTGACGCATTTTTAATAATATGGCATTAAAGTTTCAATTCAATTA